ACTCAAGCTTGTCGTGAGAGGGGATATACAAATTGTGTAAATTGCATAAATTAATAATTGTGCATAAATTAATTATACATAGAGATTACATAAAGAATATCCTAAAAATTGAGAATTAACATTGACGGTCATATGAGCACTACGTCCCGGTGTGAAATTAATAAATTATGTGAGTAAGTGGAAAAGCAGGGTTCATAAATAGGTGTTAAGCTCATTCTAAGAACTTAGCAGCAATTGCTTCTCCTAGAAACTGGATCCATACGGTGTGTGGAGATTTTTTCACGACCGCGCCACTCGGTTAGCGCGACACTGCACTAGGCCCGCACCCCCCACTCGACGCTCGTCGCTGACAAGGCCAGCCATAGTTGTAAGCTTACGTGCGCGTGCATGCGCGCGCGCCTCGCCACGTGTGGGCGCTTCGCACCGTGATCTCATCCAAGATGGCTCGATGTCATGCTAACTGACTCTACTAGTCTTCAGAGGACGCCCACATCAGCAGCCTGCGAAGCCCCAAGTACAGGATTTGTACCTCCACTAAGCAAGAAGGGAACCATCAGCCGTCGACGAGGAACCTTCACCGAATCCTTGGAGTATCGTCCTCCGCGCTTCGTCGTTGCAGCTACCTGATCGCCAAAGACGGACCGGCCGTAAATCAAGAATCTTTCGAGTGAGAGCTAAACGCTCCCTCTCCTCCTTCCCACCGCCCGACTAACCCACCCCAATCCTTTCTTGTTCCCCTCACCAAGATCCCATCCGACCCACCCATCCCCGTCTCGACCCCGCCCCCAACTCACTTCGACTCCCTCCCAATCTAAATCCCAACCCACTTCAACCCCCAATCTACCCCTTTTTCGACCCCTACCCGATCCCAACTCCAACCCACCTCGTCTTCGATCCCGACTCCAACCCACTTCAACACGGCCCTAATCCCTACCCACTTCGACTCCCACCCGATCCCGACCCTCTTCGACGCCCACCCGATCTCGATCCCCGAACACTTCGACTCTCACCCTTCCACCTCCCACTCTTCGACTCCCGATCCTGACCAACTTCAACGTCCACTCGATCCCATCTTCACCCCGATCTCGTCCCACTTCGACTACGACTCCAACCCACTTTCAGTCCTATCCGATCCCAATCCCAACCCACTTCAACCCCCACCCGACCCCAATCCACTTTTGATCCTAACCCACCTTGACTCACGCTCGCTCCCAATTTACCCCCCATCCCGACCCACCTCGATCTTAATCACCTGGACTCCCGCCCGCTCCCACCTCGCCCCCGCTTCCGACACACTTCGATCCCAATCACCTCGATTCCCACCTGCCCTCACTTCACCCCCGATCCCGACCCACTCCCATTCCATCCCGACCTTGATCCCAGCCCACTACTCCTACCCGATCCCAATCCCAACTCACCCGACTCCCACCCGATCCCATCCCACTCCGATCCTAACTCACCCCGACTCGCGCCCGCTCTCACCTTGCCCCCCATCCCGACCCTCTTCGATTCCATCTCACCTAGACTCCCACCCGCTCCCACATTGCCCTCGATCCCGACCTACTTCGATCCCAGCTCGCCTCGATTCCCGCCCGCCCTCGCTCTGCCCCTGGTCCCGACACACCTTGATCTCCCCCCGGTCCCCGACCCCAACCCATCTCGACTTTTATCCAATCCCACTTCGACTCCCATTCGATCCCGATCCCAACCTACGTCGGCTCCCACCCAACCCCAATCCCAAAACCTTTCGACTCCCTCCCGACCTCGACCCATTTTGATCCCTACTCACCTCGACTCCCACCCGCTCCCACTTCGCCCCCGACCCTGACCCACTTCGATCCCAAGTGGCCTCGATTTCCCACCCGCCCCCACTTCACCCCTGATCCCTTCCCGCGCTGATCCCCTCCCGACCCCGATCCCCGCATTTTCGACTCATACCCGATCCACCAGACCCCGATCCCAATTCACTTCAACTCCCTCTCGATCCCAACCCCAACCTACTTCGACCTCCACCTGATCCCGACCCACTTCGTCCCCAACCCACATTGACTTCCATCCGCTCCCACCTCACCTCCGATCCCGACCCACCTCGACTCTCGCCCACGACCCCATCCAACCCCAACGCCCACCCACCCCGATCCAGATCTTACGCCCTCACTTCGCCCCTGGTCCCGACCTAGTTTGATTTCCCCCCCGGCTCGGATCCAAGCCAGATCGACTCTTACCCGATCTCACCTCGACCCCATTCGGTCCCGATCCCAACCCAATTCGACTCCCACCCGATCCCAGCCCCATCACCTTTCGACTCCCTCCCGACCCCGACCCGCTTCGATCCTGACTCACCACGACTCCCACCCGCTCCCACTTCACCCCTGATCTCGACCCACTACGATCCCAACCCACCTCGACTTCCACTCGCCCCCACTTCGCCCCCGATCCCAACCCGCTTTGATTCCCTCCCGATCCTTATCTTATGTCAAGGCCCCATGATGCCTTCACCTGGTCCAGCTAACCCCGCCCCTGCCCCACATCTCACATCAAGTCCATCTCTACCCTGTCCAGACAGACCCACCCCGTTAACGACGGCCCAGTAAGAACATCTTACGATACGTACCACCCTCTCTTCTGACTCCCCCGAAAAAGATAGTGATAGCGAGAGAGGATTAGGCTAATCACATTGAAAGATGGCTAATCTAGCTCAAGGCACGGGCCCGACTGATCAAGCAATAGCCGAAAAAACAGTCAATATCATCGACAACGAAGCTCTCAAATTCTTGATATCAACCGAAAAACAAATAGTAGACGACAAGGAAGAGGAGGTGATCGTTTGAAAATACCCTGAAGAAAAGAGCCGAACTGGACGATCTGCACGAAAACATGGAGTAGTATTCAATTTTGCACGCCACGACGCAGATCTCCAGCCAACAGAGAAGAGGAAGTGGATAATGGACACAATCCGAAAGGAGCCAAAACTCAAACAGATTGGGGACACTTACTCATTGCAGAGCTTGGGACGGAACAACATCATGGTGATCTTTATCCATGAGGACCATGCACGGATCGCAGCCGAAATGCAATCCAAAACTGTCACGGATCAGTCTGCACCATCACTAGATGGAAAAAACTGTCAGTCCAAAGACAGAACCTAGTATTCGCAATTTCCTACAAACAAACTCTGCTGAAGGAACACTTCTGGGTCCAGTTTGACAACATCCAACCCGGTTTTCATGGAATGCTGGTCGACAGACTAGAGCGACAGTATACCAGAAACAAGATTCTGAAATGGATTCTACCGACGCCAGAATTTATGGCTCCACACTGCGGAACCATGACAGCGATCCTTGACGTCCAAACAGATGACCCCCCAGTCTTCCCACCAGCCTGGAAATTTCAGATAGAAAACAGGCTGGTAGAGGTAAGGATATCAACCAAAACCTCACTCATCTGCTTCCGCTGCAGAGAGCGGGGACACCTGGGAACTGATCCTGCCTGCCCAAAGTTCCCGAAACAATCGAAAGAACTGAAGCTTCCGCCAAACATGCTGGTGGAAGTAGAAGATGCACCTGAAATATGGTTCGACCTGAAATATGGTTCGTAGCTGACTCATGCTATGACAGATGGGTCTTCGATGACAACCTGGATGAACCCGACTGGGTGTGGCATTTCGCGGATCAGACACCATCTGTCAAAAAAACGGACATTTTTCCCCTGTCAGACAGCAGATGGCGAAAGAAAGCAACGGGGAAAATAAAAGGAAACCCGATGAAAATCAACACCAATCCCATCATGGACTCGCGGGTAATCAGGGAGGAGAAGGCAAGGGAAGATCTGTTGTGTGATCTAGACACCATAAGGGAACAGATTGAGCAAGAATATAACAAGGAGCCAACGATATTCAGGGAAACATTGAAACAAGCGGAACTGCAAACATACAAAAGGAGGGACAAAACGCAGATTGATAACAAGCGATCATTACATGGGGATGGCAGACAATTGGAGAAGGAGTTGGGGCCAAAGAGAAGGAAGGCAGGGGAGTCTAAAGAAGGAAAGGAAGCGAAAATGACAAAAGCAACAAAAGATGAGGAAGCAATGAATGCTGATCTGACAGGGGGCAAGGCAGATGGGGAACCGGAAGGAAGGAATAGTGCTTCAGACGCGGGTTCCACGGATGAGGATCATTGATCCAGGCAATCATTGGCCTGGCTCAAGGAATATGTGGAAAAGTGGAAAAGGGAACGGGAATATGCTTTTGATGTCCGGGTAGCTTGCCTGAAACACGCAGAGAGACCTCAGGTGAATGGTAAGGAGGCCATTGCGGGGATCAACAATTCCTCTAACCAGTACGAAATGCTCAAAAAGGAAAAAGCAGACAAATTTTTCTGAGTACGCGGCCTTCAGATATGCAGAAAAGAAAAGAGCAAGAGACCAGGGAACTGAGGACAAGGACAAAACCATCCCTACAACAAAAGACAACTTCCAGGATCTGCGACCCAAGGCAAGGAAAATAGGCAAGAACCAGAAATGAAAGGACTCCAATGACGAACAAGAAGAAATAGAAGAGAAATCAGAACGAGACCTCCTTGAAGAGGAAGTGGCAGTAGTGCTGTCCCAGACAGAGAAGCTGAAAAAGTGGAACAAAGAATACACCCCGGAATTTACCTCTATCACGCAGATAACAAATGGGAAAGCCCCAATGGTGATTGAGTCGGCCAAAGCAGCTCGTAGAACCCTGAGAAATATTAGACCACTCATTGCAGCCAGATACGTGGCAAAGGCATAGGAATGACAGATTGCAACAGACGTATCCTTCAAAATCCCTCACTTTGTGGAAGGAGTGAATGTTGTCAAAGTACTCGAAGAACAAATAACGACGGAAACCCCACTAGGGGTATTTGAGATTGTGGCTATGGAGGAGGGACAGATCGACACCTCCATACAAGAAGACTCAGAGAGCATCTAGAAGAGCACGAGCGAGTTCAACAGGAACTCCCCGAGGGCATTCTCACCGCTAATTGCAAAGAACCAAAATCTGCAAAACTCAGATCCGGGATGATCTGGAAACCCTGGAGAACGGTGACCGAGGTTCCCTACAACATCCTAGCAGGCGTAGCGGTATCAGCGGAGTTGTTGGCCGCAGCGGTTGCCCATATTGTCACGACAGGACTGTTGGAGGGGGATGAGGATCTGGACGCAAGAGCATATGCTACTGATTGTGAAAGATTCTACAGGAGCGACGCTTCCGACTGCGACTCATGGGATGGGGATGACGAAAGAGAAAAACTGGATTTGTACCCCGAGTTGGAAAGCGACAGTGGTAGAAAGACGGAGTCAGGCGGTTCAGATACTGGAAGAAAAGGTTCTCTCTCCCCATCGGAGGACAATGGACCAAAGACCGATTAGGAGGTAATCGGAGAGGGTGTGAGCATGGAACACCCCCCCCCCCCCCCCCCCCCCCCCCCCAAACAACAACAACTTAGATACCCCTCTACCAACCAACCCCCCTGACCAGGTACAACGATAGCCATGGAGAGCTATAGACTAAGAGCCAACAAGGCAGGGAGCACATCGATTGGAGAACTCAAGGGCTTGTCATAAGGAGCTGGAATGTCAATGGACTTGGGAATATAGTGGAAAAGGTAGAAAAGTTGAACGATTTACTGTCAGGATTAACAATGGAAAACAAAAAAGTAGTGGATATTTTACTACTCCAAGAAACTCACCTCACCTTCTCGATAGAACATGACAGGATTCACTCATTTCTGGCAAGGAAACTACGAGGCCTAAAGGACGAAATATGGTCAGCAGATCCCTCCACAAGCTCCAAAGGGACCGCAATCTTGATTCCAAAATCCTATCGCCTATACAAAGCAGGGTCAATCCTAGACAAGAAAGTCGATCTGGCTGAAGGAAGATGGTGCCTACCACACCTTAAATGGAAAGAAGAGGATTTTATACTGATTAACATATATGCACCAAATTTGACGACAGACAGAACGGCCTTTCTGGCAAATCTCAGGAATTTGATCCCACCACTGACCCCTTGTGTATTGGCGGGCGACTGGAACGCCACCATGGACCCGATAACAGACCGTATATCCCGGTCCTCCAACAATGTCAATTCAGCAGAAGCAATACCGGTTCAAAAATTGATGTTGGACCACAATCTGGTAGAACCATACAGAACCCTACACCCCACTAAAAGAACATTCACCCTGGTCAAGAAGAATCATGCACAACACACTGCTTTCTCACAGATTGATTATTTCTTGGTGTCAGAAATATTGATGGGGGCAGTCAAGGGTACTACCTCTGGCCTCTTACACAGGACTGGACCACAAACCAATAGAGCTAGTGCTATGCTTTGACCAAGTGGTAAAAAAGGGTGTCAGTTTCCACAAGCTTAACAACTCCCTCCTACTCAGCCAAACCTTCCAAAAGGAGATATGTGACTGCTGGATGGGACAGAGGTCTGCACGTTTGAGTGCAGAGTCTCGGTGGGATTGGTTCCAAAAAAGTTATTCCACCCTCTCAATCACTGCGGCAAAAATCTCTAAAAAGCTCGCGTCCATAAGGAATCAAAGGAGACAATCTCTAGAATTTGCTTTAAAACTGGTTGAAACCAACCTTATAAATAACCCCTCCTTGCCACTGTATAATGACATATTCGAAAAAGCGCGAGAGGAACTGGCCATTTGGAGGTGGTGGTATTTAAAAGGCCTACAAATAAGAGCCAGAATGTGCGAATATGAGCTCAGTGATTCAATGACAAAACATTTATTTGCCCGAATTAAGGCCAACTCAAGAGCTAACACAATAGAAGGTTTGAGGCCTACAACGGCCATGGAAACGGTGATATCAGACAGCGAAGGGATGTTAGAAATAGCCAAAAACTTCTACAAGGACCTCTATCACTCAAAGACCCCTACACCAACACCTCCCAACACAAGGGAGGCAAAACAGAAAATGCTTCAATATCTGGAACAAACAATAACAGTCGAACAAGCCGAGGCACTAGACAAACCGATTACGATTGAGGAGTTACACTAAGCCTTACTAGGCATGAACAACGGTAAGACCCCTGGGATCGACGGATTAACAAAAGAATTTTGGGAAAAGTTTTGGCCCCTTCTAGGAGTGGACCTGCTAAACTATTACAACGACAGTTGGACTAAGAAGGGGATCGGCAACCTATTGAGCAGTAGTGTGATCACACTACTTTATAAAAAAGGTGACAAATAAGACATTAAAAACTATAGGCCAATCTCAGTTCTAACACTTCCATATAAAATCCTCGCGAAGGCCCTCTCTAACCGACTCACCCAAATCACAAATAAATGCTTCCACATTGATCAAACAGGCTTCATCCCTGGTCGATACATTCTAGATAACGTACTGACACTAAATGAGACAGGAAGGAAGATTAGGGAGAGAAAAATAAATGTTGCAATACCTTTTTTCGATTTTGAAAAGGCCTATGACCAAGTTAACTGGGATTTCATGGAAGCCAGCATGGAAAAAATGAGAGTTGGACCGAATTTCAGAAAATGGAGCCAAATACTATACAAAGATGCAACGGGTTGTGTCCAAGTCAACGGCCTTCTGTCGGACGGCTACCCAATTTCCCGCTCAGTCTGACAAGGGGATCCATTGGCCTCATCAATCTTTTTGTTCGTAATGGAAGCCATTGCATCATTTCTACGCAAGGACCCATCAATTCAAAGACTCTCTAGCACCAACATAGGCTCAGCTCACCAAATGGATTTCCCCACAACTATCATGTTTGCGGACGACCTAACTGTCTTGATTAGAGCTACCGATTCGTCATTTAGAACTCTGGCTAAAGCAATGGAAGCCTTCAGATTGGCCTCATAAATGAAGATCAATTGGGGGAAGACAGTAGGATGGTGGCTATCAGATGAGGACCCCCTGCTATTACAAGGAGAGGAAGCAGCTATGGCCTGGGAGAGGCCAGATACCCCCACCCGGTACCTTGGTGTACTCATGACGAGAGAAGGTCTAGCGCCCCAAATGGGCCAGAACATGTTGACCAAACAAATCAACAAATTAGGAAGATGGGGCAATATCTTCACGTCCCTCATTGGTCGAGCCCTGGTCGTTAATACTTCGGTCTTCTCAATGATGTGGTACTTAGCTTCCATCTGGACTGTCCCGAACAATTCCATCAAAGAACTGAACCGAAAAGCCAGGTCGTATTTATGGTCAGGAGACCCCAGCAAGGAGAACAGCATATCTAAAATCGCATGGCACTATGTCACGAGGAGCCCGCTAAAGGGAGGTCTAGGGATTATAGACCCCGAATCAACAACAAAAGCCCTGCAGATTCAGTGGATTATTAAACTTCTGATGGACCCAAACAGCGCATGGCATAAACTAGCCCTGGATAGCATCAGATCACTAGCCCCGGTGCCCTCTCCAGAGGATATGTCAGGACTGTTCTGGGTAATGAATAAAGATTGGATTATAGCCACGGCCAGAAGAAATCGAACAAGGGACACCAGATTAGAGAACTATAGGCCTGATACCCCATACTGGACGTCTCTACTTCGAATCTGGAGAAAAATAATCCCTAACAAGTCCAGCAGACCTAGATCCAAGGATGAAGTACTAAGACAACCGCTCTTCAGGAACCAATGGGTGACAAATGAGGGCGACACCCCCTTTTTCTTAGAACAAAAGTGGCTCTCCTGGGTCAAAAACGAAATATGGAAAGTCGCCCACATATGGAATGAGGACAGGAAAGAATGGAAGACAAACTGGAAATCAGTTCCCAACTGAAAGGATGCCACAAGCGAGGACCCAATCTTCGGTACATTGTCAGCCTTATTCCACAGAAATGGAAAGATATCTTGACGGAAGCCGCTCAATGGAAATCCGGAGAATGGGGACTTAAGATACAAGAAATGACTCCCTCGAGAGCCTTCCAATTCTCTCACATGCAACAAGATTCGCACACCAAGGCCACCTTCCTCTCCTTCCCAATCTCCACGACTGCTACCAGTATGCCGATTATCCTGAATAACAATGTTGAGTCGGTAGTCTTGGACTCCTTCCTACTCAGGAAGATAAGGGTCATTGGCTCTTGGCCCAAGTCAATCTTTAGACCGGACACAGCAATCCGTAACTTGGAGTTTGACCCGGCTGAATGGGCATGGATGCCGGACAAGACTAAAAACATCAAATCCAAAACCCCAATTCAAGAGTATACAGTCAAACTAGGATACAGACTGTCACTGAAAACCAAAGACCCGGACCCTATCATTAAAAAAAGATGGCACGATCTACTGGGCCAAGAGGCAGACAATCTCACACAGATCCAATGGAAAAAGTTCAGGCTCATCAGACCAATCAAAATCAGAAGCTTACAATGGCTAATCGCCTACGCGGCATTACCAGTGAACCAATGGCTACACACGGGGCGTAAGAGTTCAGATCCCAGCAGTTTGGACTTGTGCACAGTCTGTAATGAAGGGGCGGTAGAAGACATAGTTCACTGCCTAATACATTGCAGAGAGGCGACAGACTACTGGGCAAGATCATCGGCACTCTGGGACTCCCTATTCCCAACTCCCTTCCCCGAACATCCCATCCAACTTCTCCTCTTGACTTACATCCCTCAACAGCTCCGGAAGACAGAAAAAATCTGGTTTGGTCTCATCAGAAAGGTTACATTATGGGTCATATGGAAGGAAAGATGCAGCAGAACAATTGAAGGACTGTCCAACCCACGCGAGAAAGTTTGGGTGGAGACGAAAACGATGATACAAGCTGAAATCCTCTGCAGATGGAGGAAGACCAAGCAGTCATGGACGGAGGATGAGGAACAGAGAAAGAAGGACAGATCGACCTTCAGCAAGAATTGGTTGATAAACGGCAAGATTGCAGAGTTACGAGAAGACCGCATTTGCTGGAAGGAGTGGCACAACTCAACCCCAGGAAGGAGGCACCAACAACAGACAACTACGGGTGGGCAAGACATTCCATGATCAGACATCCAAGAGGGGGGAATAAGACGAAAGTAAGGGTCCCATAGAGCAGGATAGTAATCAAGGGTTTAGGGATTAAGGGTTCAAGGGATTTTCAAAGAGGGCGGAGAAATTTCGAACAAGGGTCAGGATGACTTCTGGGCAAGGATGGACAAGGCAAGACTGCCCCTACCAGACGAGGACGAGCAACAGCGCACAATACAGTCGAGGTTTACCAAGACCTGGCTGATCGAAGGAAAGTTGCAGAGATAAAGATCTTTTATGTCCGGTGGATGGCGCAACTCATAAGATGTTAGGAGAAAACCAAACAGTCCCGACACAGACAACAGTGTCCTAGGCTGAGCAACAGAGATACCAAGCCGTTTTTTTGGAAAGGAAGGAGAGGCTTTAGAAAGGTATTAAAAAAGGGGGGTCAGACAAAATGGGAAAAGAGAAATCATGTTTCAAGGGCAGGGCAGACAGGTGGGGAGGATACAGGCCGACAGGGACAAAGGAGGCTTGAGGATCAGCAGCGGGGTTTAGGGTTTAGACTGAGTTGGCAGCAGCCACAGCTTCTCAATCCTTTCTTGCTATTCATGTTGTATCTGACAGGCTCCTTTAGTAGTCCTGAGAGGAAAGATGGAAGCAAGGCAAGCTGACAGTCAATCCTCCACGACGTTGGAGTAATCAATGCTGATCAGGGTTCCTTCGGCCAGACGGAAGGAAGCGTGAGAGTGTTCTATGATGTATTTATTTTTCCTGACTTGCCGGTGGAAAAGGAACCGGACTGATGCTCCCCAGAATGGAAATGGAGCCAGGGCCATAAGGACCTGTTTAAAA